GAAACTCACATGAACTGGCTTCTAATCGCAGCTTGGTACCTCAGGCTGGTAAGTCACTGGGTTTTTCCACGCCTTTGCTTTACAGTGGGGATGGGAATAGGACCTGTTGCCTAAGATCGTTGTGAGGGTTAGATCAGAACACTCACTCCTGCCCATTAGGCCCCCTTCTTTGCCTAGCTAACTCCTACTTTCCTGACAGAATCTTATCTTTCATGTCCCATCTCCTAGGACACCTCCCTGTGGCCCAGCCCCAGAATGGGTATGGGTAGTCCCCGTGATGGCATCCTTGACATTTTTTATTTGGGTCACAGTTGCTTACTTGGTTTTTGGACCATTTGGACCATGAGCTCCATGAGGCAGGGTCCAGGGCTTGCTTGTCAGTGTGTCCCCGCGCCTGGCCCACGTCCATCCTGGCCAACTGAGTGAATGCTGGCTCGCTCTACTAAAGCACCTCACACGACAGCTCGGGTCTCAGCAGTGAACCTCCCCACACTGCCCTTTTCCTCTTCCCCTTGTCTGCTTGGCACACGCCTGGGCCAATTTGTATTTTGTGCCTTGAGATCTTCTGTACACGTTTTTCTTCAAAAGATGAAGGAAAATCCCCACCTTTAAAAGTTGTGACAGTTACGCAAACACTCAGTAACAGAAATGTGCGTGGGCTCTGGCAGATCCTGCTGCCTCCTACATCACTGACTCAAGGATGCAAAATGGCACGGCCAGCTCCACCAGCTCTTCATGGGGACGCCTTCCTGGGCCCTGAGTTTGCCATCCATGTGGTGAATGCTTCCGGCCTGCCAGGCGGGTCTGGCTGCTCCTTGGCTGCGCAGGTGTAGGAAGCAAGCCTGTCAATGCCGTGTTTTAAAAATGAGATGGGGGCTTGAGCAACCATCATGCCTCCCAAGCAGCTGTTATGCTCAGCTGTGCTTGTCTTTCTTTGTGTGGGTCACTGATCCGCTGGCATGATGGCAGCTTGTAGGGGGGGTGCGTGAACCCCTGTGTCCCCCTGCCTGTGTCCATGGGTAAGGCCAGGATGAGCCCCTTCTGATGGGGTGGTTAATGAGGCCAGGCAGTGGCTGCAGATGGGCCAGCCGTTCCGAGATTTAGAGGCTAAGCAAGGAGGCACATGGTGTTTCATTCAGTCCATGGACATCAAGTGAACACTGCTGTGTGCCCAAGGTGGGCACTGAGAACAAAGAAAACAGGCCCCAATGGAGAATTGGGGGGTCACGTAAGGCAGAGAAGTTTCCTGGAACTGGCGACAGGACAGATTCACCTACTGGCAGTGTAATTTGGAGAAGCAACTTAACCTCTCTGAACCTCATTCATTCAACAACTATTGTCTTAGTCAGTTTGGGCTGCTGTAATGAGATACCACAGACTAGGGACGCTTAAAGAACAAACACTTATTTCTCACAGTTCTGGAAGCTGGGAAGTCCCAGTGAAGGTGTTAGCTGGTTTCCTATCTGCTGAGAGACCTCTTCCTGACTCGCTGGTGGCCACCTTCTCTGTGTCCTCACGTGGCAGGGACAGACAGAGTTCTGGTCTTTTCCTCTTCTGTGAGATACTGTTCCCATCGTGGGATTGACCCTCAGTATCTCATCTAAAACTAGTCACCCCCCCCCGGAGGTCCCACCTCCCAAGACCATCACAATTGGGAATTAGGCTTCAACTTAAGAAAGTGGGGGACACAAACATTCGATCACAGCAGCCATTTGTCAGGTCCCCACGATGTGCCAGCCACTGTACCAGGCGCTTTGGACACAAATTCTTCTGCAAAATAGGGATTTCACCACTTCCCTCATCAGACCCTTGTAAGTCGATAAAACACGTAAGGAATAGCTATAGCACTCGACCCTCCATTAATGTGTGGTGTCCTCTCTCACTGGGGAAGGGCAGAAAAAAATCGATTCAAAGCCCAGCATTCAAGAGAAAAACGCATAGTAGGTAATAATAGCACGTTCCCAACCATTAAGCTCTCTCTGTGAAAGGAGAGGACCAGGTGGGACTCAGGATGCCAAAGTTCCGGCAGAAGAGCAGCCGCCAGAACGCTGGGTCCAACCTCTCCTGCTATCTTGCTGTGTGACTTTGGTTAAAGGTTTTGTCCTCTCTGTTTCTTGCTTTCCTCATCTACCAGAAGGAAATAATACTTGCCATACTTAGTGATCATAGTAGTAACATAAAGCTTAAGTTATATATAAAGCTTAAGTTAGTGTATTAGAAAGTGTTTTGAAAAATATCCGAATGAGACCAAATGCAAAGTAAAACCGCTCCATTTACAGCATTCCCACGTTTGACATTACCACGTGTATCTCAGCTCGGTTCTCCTGAGGCAGACCCGGAGACGAGGGCTGGACCGCAGGCGGACTATTTGCGGGGGGCGGGTCTCAGGAAGCAGAGTTAGATGGTGGGGCAAGTGAGAGTGAAAAGGGAGGACAGCCATGGGGCGCGTTACCTAGCAGGTTACCGCCGTGGGCAACTGGGGCTCAGTCCTGCTGGGACCTCTGAGGACCGTGACAACACAGCCCCGAATCGCCCCACCAGAGGAAGGCCAGTAGGGTGATTTTGCACCAAACCCCAGACCTCTTCGGTTGGAGGTGTTGCCTGAGGAGGTTAGATCACGGGCATTGTGGGCTGCCCGATGTGGGCAGAGCACGCTCCTGTGCCCCAGAAAGCTCTTGGGGCATGAAGCAGAGAGCCTGGGGCAGATGCTGGAGAGGGGAGGCTCTCAGTGAGCTGGGAAGTCCACAGATCTGCAGAGAACTCAGAGTGGGACAAGAGCATGGGGCCAGCCATCAGGGGTGTCTGCCACGGCAAGTACTCCCACGCACATGACAATCTTCTCCTCAGCACATTCTCGTTGTCGTAGTGATGAGAGCATTTGCCCAGCAATTTTAAGGCTCAGGAAAATTTAGAAAGCAGCCTCAAAGGTTAAAATAGGTGCCACAGAATTCATGTGCTAAAGTTCATTCAACAGAAGTTTGTAGTTGCACACCACGTGCAGGGGGTGAAGCACCAGAGATATAGGGGCGAACCAGGCAAATTTGCCTCGCCTTTGAGGAGCTAACATTTTAGGGGGAAAGATCAGCCCCCAAATTTGATATGTGCTGAGAATGAATCCAACAAGGGGCAGAAATAGAAGAAGGGGAGAATGGGAAGGCCCGTGTCAGTAGGGGAGTCAGGAAAGGTCTCTTTGAGGAGGTAACTTTTAAGCTTAGAAATACAAGATGTGGAGAAACTAGCTATACACATAGTGGGACAAAGGGTATTCCGGGCCTGGGAGGTGGCCTGTGCAAAGGCCCTAATTTACACTCAGTTCTAACACCAGGCTTATCTTGGCTCCTGCTCCAGAGCGCATGAAAAGTAATCTTAAAAGGACCAGGAGAGGAACTCAGGGGTGAGTCCCAGAGTTAAGTTTTCTGGAAGAAACTAAAGTCCCGGAGACAGCTTAGGAAGTCACATAAACTGAAAGGCAGACCCCAGAACAACAGTGTCACTGTAAGAGGCCCCTGGGTGCCAGACCAAACAGCCCCTGCACCTCGCCAGTGCTCCAGGAGGCTCCACCTGACGACCAGAAGCAGCATTTCCTTGACCTCAGACTGTTCCAAAGGATGGGCACCAAGCACACCTGCTTATCCTTCCCAGAAAACTCGCTTCAGTGCTGGAGGGAGGTGAGGCGGCCGTGGATGCTCTCAGAACGGTTCACACACGTGCAGCGCTTCCCACGCTCCTGGCAGGCTCCAAGGACTCCACGTGCAAGAACTCGAGCCCCGTAAAGTGGGTACTGTGTCAGCTCATGTCACAGAGAAGCAAGCTTGGGCACGGAGCGGCGAGGTGACATACCCAAGGTCACCCAGGTGGTACATGAGGAGCCGGGACAAGAACCCGGGCAGCCTGGCTTGAAGGGGCATGCCCTTCAGCACGACACTGTGCTGAGCTGCTGGCCACACATTCATGCTGATCAAGCCCACAGATGTCGGCGCCACCGAGATCCCGCTGCCTAAGCACCCAGTGCTAGGCCCTGAGGGTTCCTGCTGTGGCGCAAAGGGGCGTCTGTTGTCTGGTATGGAAGCAAAGATACCAGAGAACAGCTACGCATCAGCACAGTCCAAGACAAAATGCTTCCCACTGGTGCTCCTCACAGGTAAAGTGCAATGGCTCATTCATTCATTCAGCATTTACTAAGCACCTACTGTTTACAAAGCACGGCCCTGCAGCCTGGACCATGAGATAGCGGGAAGATCATAAGTTCTGGAGTCTGAGTCCCGCTCTGAACCTTGCAGGCACCACGGCCTTGGGCTGCCCACTTAACTTCCCTAAGCCTCTGTTTCTAACTCTACAATGGATTGCGATGAGGACTTCAAACAAAAAGAGAAAAGAGAACCGAGTGTGAAAGCAGCTGTAAGGCATCGAGGCCTGAACGGTTGAGTCCCTTTAATTTCTGCAAAGGCAAAGCACAGGTGAATGGAATCCCCGAGGAGCTGGCAGGCTGGACCAGGGGAGAATTCTCCCAATCCACTTTGGCTTTTCAGCCCTTTGGGAAAACAAAGCGGACAAAAGTTTGTCGATTTACGAATGTGACGTAATTTGGCCCTAGGCTCTCAGATACACAGAAGGAGATGAAATGCTCATTTCAGCTGGTCCAAATTTCCTTCTATGACTTGCATCTCTGATACATCCTACTTTCTCCCAGTGAAATCAGCTTGATTACCCCCGATGTTGGGGACCTCACTGCCTGCAAGGGGATCCCTTCCATCTTAGCTGTCCTCTTGCAAACTCTCTTTATTGTGCTGTGTCTTAAGTGAGTCCATTTTCCCACACCCACAGTAACCCGTTAAACGAATGAACTTCTTTGGTACCTTCTGCTAAACAATTAAAGGTTAGAGGAGGGTCCGGTGGCCAAGGAGAAGTTAGAATCTCGGCCCTCCACAACTTCCAGATTTAGACCAGGCTGTTTTAAATAAGGATGCAACATCTTACGAAACACAGGCTCCCCTCCTTACTTGAAAATGATGACAGTGGCTTTCTTCATGTCAGCTTACAAGATGGAGCAGGTCCCTCCTTTCCGTTTTTCTGCATACTGTGCTCCTTTGGGGGAAAGGCCACTTCAATAAATAAATAACAGCAAATCACAAATAAAATAACACCCGAGTGCTTCCTGTCCCGGAGTTACACATGATTTACCAGGACTGAATTCGCGACCTCCGGCTTCCGGGTGGGGGTGGGGAGAAGCGGAGGGAGAGCAAGCACAGGGGGCCTCGCACCGTCTGAATCCCAGATACGCGCCTCGAAGGGAAGGGTTTAGCTCCTATTCTGCCAGAGAAGAGAATCAACAGAGAAGTAATGATAGTGTGCAGTGAAGGGAACGAAATGAATAAATAAGCCCTCTATGAGCTGGATTCAAACATTTATTTTACATGAAAGAGGGCTAATGACATTCAATAGGATAGAGGAAATCAAAAAGTCGTAGCCAGCAGCCGCTCTTTTAAACCAGATTTTGAGCACAACCCCCCAAGGGCTGTTTCCACCAATTTTCCAATAAATCACGCACTGACTTTTAGAAGAGACAGATATTTAATTCGTGCATTAGAACCACAGGGCCATGACGGAAGGCTGCAGCCCTGGCGGCCCACGCTCTTCTCACACAGTCCCTTAAACCACCCGACTATAAAACCACGCATTAATTGGGTAATTAAGCACTGGGCAGGCTGCTGGATGAGGGGCTGATGGCTGACCTTTGGGCCCAGGATCAAAGTTCACGGGTTAAAGGACCTGCCCCACTGGGAGCCCACAGCTTCCTCTTCTGCTTCAGGTATGTAGATTATAATTAAATATTTAAATGGATCGATCTGCCCAGGGGTTTTAAATACCCGGGTGAGAAGCCAGAGTACCTGAGAGTGTTAATTACCTCCTCCAGAGTGTTGTGAGCCTCTGATGGGAGGGCAGGTGGCAGAGGAAACACAGTGCCACCAGGGCTGGTCCTCCGGCAGCACTCACGAAGGGCCAAGACTCTGACCCGGAGCGCAGCCTTCCAACCCCCACCCCACATTCACACTCCTCATTTATCTGCTCGTGCCACGATGGTTTGCAGCCCTCGTTTGTTCTGGACAATCCAGTGGGGATCAGAACCTCCCGGGGTTCACAGTTTGTCCAGCAAGAGGGGGAGATGAAGTCCTCACAGCCCCTTCCAGCTGCCCAGCAGCAGACAGCAAGGAACAGAAAGCCCTGGTTCCCCATATTGCCCAGATCCTAAATATGTGCACCTAGGGCCACGTCCAGGGTCTCCTCTCCCGGGGGAAGGACTCACTAGGGAACTAAGGACTGTGTCTGAGAAGGGGTCATGCACGGTCCTCACAGCAGGGGAACTGCTCTAGCGGGGGAACCGGGGAATTCCTGACCGAGTGAGGAGCTGAGACCTGAAGGATGCAGGACCTTCTTAACATGCAGGGACAGCCTGAGGGGCTCTGGAGAGAAAGGACACCTGACACTGGAGTGAAGGGGTGGGGGTGGGAAGAAGGCGGGGCAGCCGGCAGCGACACCAGCAGACCCCAGTCCGAGATTTACCTGTCACCATGAGGAGGGCACCGAGGGGTTTTACACGTGTGTGTGCACTGGGTGGCTGAGTAACTCAGTCAGATTGGCAAGGTCTCACCAGGACCCAAATCCAAATCCAAGGCAGAGGGCTCTGCCCAGCCAGGAGGAAGGATGCGACAGTCCGAGGACCCTACGGCCCTGCCCTGGAAGCAGCACACCTTTCTCCCTCCGTGCTCCTTAATGGCTGGTGGTGTGGCAGGTGGGGGGTGGGAACCGCCCAGGCCTGGGGAGGTTTGGAGTTTCTCTCGTGGAGCCCCTGGGAGAGGGCACCATTGCCCTTGCTCCCCTCATGGCAGCACAAGAGCAAGGCCTCCACCAGGAAGTCTGTTGGGAGGGTTGGGGGCTTCTCTTGGCTGCCAGAAAGGCCCCTCTTCTGCCCTTTTTGGAGCCGAATGATGCTGGCTGGTGCCAAAGCCTGGGGAGGACAGCCCAGACCCGGGTATTCCTATAGCACACATGTCCCCGTGGGCTTCCATGCCTGTCTCCTCCCAGACAAGGAACCCCTTCAGGGACTCCCTCACCTTGTACCCTCAGCCCTAAACACAACACCTAGTGGGTGATATGAGTGGCATTTTCCTAAGTGGCAGCACTGTCCTCAGCCTGCCACCCCCAGTCACTGTTGCTTCAGGTGGGAGGCAAGAGCTTTCTCCCCCTCGGCCACAGGATTAGGTCCCCCATCTTAGAAAAATGGCTTCCTGGGCACATCTGAGCCGGGCCACAGGGATCCAGCCCAATATGGCAGCCACGGAGGCTGGGGGGCTACTGAAGACCAGGCCTTCCACTGTGACCATGGCCACCATGTGACAAAGTGGTATCGTCCATACATGGGAAGCTGTGTGGCGGCTCTGCAGGCAGCTGGAAATTCTACCCCAAGTTGGCACCATAATAAAAGAGACAATGGAGAGGTTTTTATTCCCCTCAACCCCGCAGGGTAGAGCACTTGCCCTGAGACACAAATGAGACACAGGCGTGAGGCTTAGCAAATCCACAAATTACAACACCTCTGAGATGCCCATTGTGTCCAAGCTGACTGGAGCAGGTTTGCATGTCCCTGCATCCCGAAAACAATAGCTCAAGTAGTCATCAGATGGCCAGAAACCAAAGCCACTGTCATTAAAATCCAAGAGGTGCTATTAATTAAAGTACCCCTCACCCATGCTGTAGAGGGAGCCGCTATTTCCATTTGAAGCCTGCTAGTTGGATAACTGCTTCCATTAAAACAAAAAACTCACTCGGAGATACAATTTAACATGCAAGTGCTTTGGGGTTTGAGACCGGCTGCTCATGCTGTTGAAACACACACACCAGATTTTCAGGGGCTGCAGCTACCAGCGTCGATCTGCCCACAGGCCTGCAAGGAAACAAACACGTCCTCTCGATTAAACTCTGCTTGCCAGGACGGCATCGCCAAAGTCAGCAAAGGCACGCTGGAGGCTGGAAAACTCACACAGGCGTCAGAAGTCAGCGTTCAGAAATCACATTCATTCATTCATTCATTTTGTTCATCCATGGTCCATGGGGTTTGGGTACCTACCATGGGTCTGGACACTGTAACAGCCACTGAAATAGCACAGTGAATCAACGAGACCCGTGCCTGCCCATGTGGGGCTTACAGGGAATCCAGGAATCAAGACAGAAATGAAAGCAGTGACAGCACAAATGAAAGAACACTGGGAGTGCCCACAGTGCAGGACCTGCCCACCGGCTGGTGCCTGCATGAGAGGGGCACAGAAGGCTCTGTGCAGAGCCCCTGGGGACCAGCAGGCACCAAATGCAGTCTCTGAGCTGCCCACGTGCTGACAACCTTTGGATGGAGTGAGATAGTCCAAAAGTCCTCTCAATCCGGTCAATTCAACTCAAGAGCTATAACCTAATACAGAGACAAATGTTAGTATGTGCTGTCAAACCAGGGACAGTTGAAGGATCAGAAAGCGCGTCTTGAGCCCCTCTCTATGCTGGCGATGAACGTGCCCATCTGCAGGCTCTTCCCTGACAGTCTGCTGCGCGGTGCTCTGACCAATTCTGAAAGCCGTCAGTCCTCAAAAACAAGAGGGGGTGGAGATCAGGGTCTTCTAACCGGCCTTGGGGCCGAGCCCATCCGCAGCAGCAGGGAAGGCACACGCCGCAGCGTTGACCCGTTCCATGGTGTGGGCTGGGGCCAGACACACTGAACCTGACTCCCAAGGCCTGAGTTTGTAGGATGAGGGGTAATAGGAAGGAAAGAAGGAAGAAAGGAAAGGAGAGAGTAAAGGAAGGAAGAGAGGAAGAAGGAAGGAAAGGGAGAGAGGAAGGAAGCAAGCAAAAAAGGTCCAGATCCATTTTGTTCAGAAACTAATTCACTGCTTTTCACACAATAGGTACTCAACAAATATTTTTTAGACGAGAAATAGATGAAGTCAATAGATAGGACCAAGGTTAACCTAACCCTGCTATAAAATTCCTTTTCAGTACAGTATAAACTGCAAAATCACTGATTCACTGGCATTATTCCATGAGAACAAATGATTGCTGATGAAAGCCATGCAGGTGATAAAGGAACTTGAGAAGCCAAAGCTGCCAGCTTTGGGTTCGGAAGCAGCTGCGTCCTTAATTATGTTGCTTGATTTATACTCTATTAAATCTGTATATAAGTAACCCATTTCTCTGAAAGCATTTAAACCTCTTCTATTCCACCAAACACAGTGCTTTTATTTGAAATAAATGTATCCAGCTCTTTGGGGAACATATGGTATATTTCTCTCTTATTAATAATTCAGTTCAAATGAGCAAAAATTAGTTGGTGCAGTTACGGCTGATTTTGTCCTGAAAAGATCCGCATTAATTTTAGACGTTTTGTAAATTGGGCTATTAAATAAAAGCATTATATGTGAATTACCCTTTAAATTTTAAGCAACTTGGTAGTTTAATGGTATTTTCTAGTCAGATTCATTTTCAATCTTTAAAAAATTATAGTCATTATGGTAAGACAAATTTTTGAAACCTGCTCCTTCTATCCAATTACATATTGTACTAATAAGTAAACTGGAAAACTTTTATGTTCTCATTTCAGTGCTCAGTACTGCTTTGCTCCATCTTTGGACGGCATCTGTCTTCTGAGACGTTCCCCAGAGGGAGGATGCTGGTCTTACTGAGAAGCTCTGATCAGGGCCGGACTCGGAGGGAGCTGGGAGTTCATCTAGGGGGAGTTGTCGTGGCGCCCTGGAGCTGGGCTTCAGGATTGTTAGCTCTCTGCTGATGGGGTCTCCTCTCTGGATAGGGATAGCCCCTCACTCATGGTGCAAAGCTCTGGGTCTGCAGAAAGTGCCCGCAAGGCACCGGCCGGGCAGTTATGCTGGAAAGACCTAAGGAGTTCATAACTAGCGAGGGGGATGTTAGGCACAGGAGATGAGCACACAGTTTACCAGCTCTGTAGCCCAGCCTGGCAGAGATCCCCAAAGCCAGGCCCACTCGGTGGTCCCCTGCAGCTGTCTGGGAGAGGTAGGGCAGGAGTGTGCAGGCCCGGCTCCCAGGGGGCTTCCCCTGGTTCAGCCCCATTCAGAGAGCCTGAGAGAAGTGGCTCTGGGGGG